GGGTATTTCAGGAAGCTGGGTCCGCCAAAGTGCAGCACAAAGGATACGATCAACTGGTAAATGGACTGGCCGATAATCATCTTCCACATGGTCAACGTAATGAGCGGCGCAGTCTTGGGTTCCGGCTTCCGACGCAATTGCGATTCCGTCGGCGGGTCGGTAGCGAGCGCCAGCGCGCCAAAGCTGTCCATGATGAGGTTGACCCAAAGAAGCTGGATGGCCTTGAGCACAGCCTCCTCTTCGGCACTGGCGACGGCCGAGACAAAGGTGAGAATGACAGCAGTGATGTTGACCGTGATCTGGAACTGGAGGAACTTCTTGACGGCGTCGTTGATGGCTCGGCCCCAAGCGAGGGCACCGACAATAGAAGAAAAGTTGTCGTCCATCAGAATAATGTCAGACGCCTCCTTGGCAACTTCGGTTCCCGTGATGCCCATGGAGAAACCAACGTCGGCAGCCTTGAGCGCGGGCGCGTCGTTGGTACCGTCACCAGTGACAGCGACGACGTCTCCGAGAGACTTGAGTGTCTTGACCAAGATCCTCTTATCTTCGGGGCTGGAGCGCGCCAAAACCTGCAGGTCCCTAACCACGGCGCGTCTATCTTGATCGCTGAGGCGTCGGAACTCCAGGCCCTCCATGACACGACCGCCCTCGGTAAGAATACCACAGTCGCGGGCGATAGCTTTGGCAGTCTCGATGTTGTCACCCGTCACCATCTTCACGGACACGGAGGCACTGTGGCAGTGTGCCACAGCCTTGGGGACGTTGCCTCGCACAGGATCCTGGATACCAACAACACCGATCCAGTTGAGATGCTTGAACAGGTCGTTGAACTCGACGTTGTCGGTACCCTCCTCCTTGCGAGAGTTTGGGGGAGGCCACGACTCAAAGTCGCGGTACGCCAGTGCCAGGGTTCGAAGAGACTGCTTAGCATAGTCGGAGATGGTGCGCTTGATGTCCTCGCGTTGCTGGTCCTCCATGTTGGCGCGGGCGAGCGAGGAAGTAGGGTCTGCGATGACCTTGTTGGATTGTCCCAATACGATTTCCGGCGCACCCTTGATAAAGAGGCGATACTTGTTCTCGGGCAGACGGATGACGATACCCATGCACTTCCGCTTCGAATTGAAGGGCAGTAGTTGCTGCGTAGGGAAGCTAGAGCGCTCCTCGGCAATAGGGCCGAGAGCGAAGCATTTACGTGCCCAGTCGAGGAGAGCTGTCTCCGTCTTCGTGCCGACAAATACCTGCTTTCCCTTCTCCTCGGCCTCGAACGCAGTCGTGTTCACAGCGACAGATTCCTTGAGCAGCTTGCGGTATTCGTCTGACAGGCTTGAAGAGAGCTTCGCAAGCGGAAGGCGTAGAGTCGATGGGGTTCCGTTAGATGTGCGGGCGTCGTCCTCCACCTCCTTTGCAGGCGTCGTCGGTTCGGTGGTAGCCTCCGCGTCTTGGTCGTCTCGATCGTTGAAGCGCACGCTCCCAGAGCCCAGGGACCCAGCCACTACCGTCATGACGTTCTCGGTCAAGGTGCCTGTCTTGTCGGAGCAGATGACCGTCGCATTACCCATAGTCTCGCAAGACTGCAAGTGGCGGACGAGGTTGTTCTCCTTTGTCATTCGCTTTGTCGCGTACGCAAGTGAGAGAGTCACGGCAAGAGGCAAGCCCTCGGGAACTGCAACGACAACAATGGTGATCGAGGTGATGAGAATCTGGAGGAACGTCTGGCCCTTCTCGTCGGGACTGTCGTCGTTCCCAGGGAGACGTGCGAGGAACTGGATAGTGAGGACACCGAGGAGAATCAGACCAGCAGCGCTACCAAGTTTGGCAATGTACCCTGTACCATGTTAGACGTCGGCCCAGAGCGCAGGAAGCAGGGCACTTACCAGCAAGAATGTTCAGCTTCAGCTGCAGAGGAGTCTGTCCAGGATCGTCGCGCAGAGACATCATGGTCCTACCGTGACTGGAGTTCTGGCCGACAGCAGTGACGAGAAACGTGCCAACACCATCTAGGATTCGTGCACCCGAAATGAGGAACGGGTCGAGTTTCTTGATGTTCGTGTTACCTTCGCGAATGCCCTGCATCACAGCAGCAGCGGGAACCTTCTTGATCAGGTCCGACTCGCCCGTGGCGAACGACTCGTCGCAACTGACATTATGACCATCGATGTAGACACCGTCGACCGGAATGACGTCTCCCGCTTCGAGCAGCATAACGTCACCCACGAGGACACGGTGGATAGAAAGATTGGTCGGCTTTCCGGAGCGAATGACCTTGACGATGCGGTCTTCCTTCTTCTTGTTCAGTTTCCGGAACTGGCGCTCCTTTTGCCAATCGTTGGCAGCACCAACGATAACGACAATCAGGATGGCGACAACGATGGCAACGCCTTCGACCCACTCGACTTTGGCGCCCTGGTGATGCTTATTGCCGAAGGTTTGGTAGAGGCCGAGCGCGAGAGAAATGACAGCAGCAACCGACAGAAGGATCAAGACCTTGTCCTGGAGAGCAATCCATGCGAGCTCCAAAAAGGACTTTGATTTCCTCTCGGGAAGAAGGTTCTCGCCAAACACCCTCTTCCGGTCGCCAAAGTTTCCATCAGAGTCGTTCCCAGCTAAGCCGTCCGGCTGACTTCCAGCTTCCTTTGCAATAGCATTAACATCCAGAGCGGCCTTCTTCGGGTTCGCTGTGTCGGTGCCTGCCGCTACAGCATCTTCGAAGGAAATGGGATCCGAGATTGTGGCCTCATCGAGACTGAGGCCAGCCGCTCTGTCGGTACGGAGACCCTTTTCAAGACCAGGAAGACCACCGAGGGCCACAAATGCTTCAAGACTCTTTGGGTTGATAATCTTGGTGAGTTGGCCTGGTGAGAAGGCGAAAGGATTATTGGCAACATTGTAGAGCTGCTCCTCGCCTGGATCCGGACTCAACGGATCGATTTTTCCATCTTTAGTGGTCCCCGTTATGTTGCTGTCCCCAGCGGCCGAGGGTTTTCGTAGAGAGTCCCCTGGATCGGATCCTGGAGTCGTAGGGGATTGTGTAGGATGGGACTTATTGGAATCCCATGACTGTGCGCGGGATGTCCTCGTAGGAACGGCTAGAGTGTTGGTGTCCTCGAAGGCCGGTGACGTAGGAGAGTGGTCCTCTACGTCTGGGAATGGTTCTGAGCAGGCGGTTAGTGGGTGCAATACTTGGGCTTGACTTGGCAAGCTCTTGACGGGTGTTAGATGTCTCGCGATGATGCCTGAATCGAGAGAATCTGGGGAAGCGTATTTCCGCGCCAAGCCGGGTCGACAGGGATTGTCGGTGCGGCAGGTGGACACTGAAAAGGCTTCCCCCATTCGCTCCTCAGAAGATTGAGGCAGTGTTGCTTGCTGACCATTGAGGCAGCTTCCACAACTCCGAGCTCCAGCCAGTGTGAGGCATTGCTGCAGCGTACGCAACGCCACCGCGACTCCTCCAAAAAGAACGTACCTTGTTCATTATTGATGGCCGAGGTGTCGACCGTGATCGCAGGCGTCTGGGGCCGCCGGTGCGAAGCTGGGCGGCTGGTCGAATTGTCCATGATGGTCTGGACCGTGGCAGGCACGGAAAAGGGTGACTTAAGTATTATGCAGACGAGTCGGGCGAAGGGGGCCAGGTCGTAAAATCGAGGGAATATGAAGCCGAGCACGAAAGGTACCTCGGGGCGGACTGGAGGATCTTGGAGAAACGTATCGTTCGTTGCCTTGGCGAAGTATGCAAGGCAGAACTCGAGGCAGAATCGAGCAGGGCCGATTCGGCTCTCTACAGCTCGAGGGCCTTTTCGGAGCCGTCGGGCGCGAATCGGGTTCGTATTGATGCTAGGAGATGATCGATGAAGTGGTACGAGTGTGGCAGTGCCGGGTGTGATGATGAATGTTGAGGGTCGTTTGCATCGCGGTCCTTTTGGGGATGTCCTTCGTTTGAAGGCAAGCCGTCTGTTGCTTTTGCGGCGGAGGCTTGTGTTGGTGATCTTGGGCGTGCCCGAGATGCTTTCGGCGCGAATGCGAAGGTCGTGAATTTTGTTTTTGTTGGCAGGAAGGAGGCGCACTTCAGTGCCGGACACCTGATTGACTGTAGGCGGAGGCAAGGATTGCGCTCGCGAAAGACCCAAGGCGAAGATGTGAGAGGTCGAGATTGAGAAGAGAAAGCTTCCAAGAGGCAGGAAAGAGCCAAATGCTATAGAGTACGTAAACTAGGTAGGTGAACGTGATTTCATCGTATGAGATCAGGGAAGGGACGGTAGCGGCCTTGTGAATGTGGCAGTGCTGCTCCGTTTCCTTGGCAATCGTGATGCTTGGCGTCATTGGTCAAGCTCGCCTCATTTTGGAGTAACCACCTTCATCATCACTGGAGCAGGGGCCTGAGGGGGCGCCATAGGCATGTGGGCTTCTGTGGGCGCCAGCAGGAGATGAGGGGGGGGACCTGGACCGCTGGCCGTTTCGTTGCCATGGTGCAGCCGTCATCGTTTCTGGTCGTCTCTGCTTCTTTTTCTTGTTTTCGTCCCTTTTTTCCACTGGCCATGTCTCTGATCCAAAATGCATCTAGCCATCTCCGACCGAGAGAAGCATGGGGCGGTCTTCGATAGAAGGGAGGGCGGTGGAAAGCAGGCACTCCTGGAACAACAACATTGACTACAAGGTAGGCGAGTGTAATGCGCAGTGGAGCCCACGGAATTCATTGCATATCACAGGCCAGCCTAGGTACCTAGGTGGCCAGGCGGATTAAGCTTACCTGCCACCGGGGGGGGGGCGAAGATGCTTGGTTCAGTGCTTGGTATCCACTGTTTGCTGGCTGCCCCCTTCCTGTGCCCTTCTCTGGCAGCTTGGGCGAGCTTGGCGACCTCTCAGGAAGCGCGTGCCAAGATTCACAGGCCCGTGGGGCACCAAGCATTAGGGGCTTTAGGTGCCGCCCCTGGCCCTCCCTGGCCCCCTCCGGAGGCATCCACTAATTACCTTCAAATTAACGCCCTTGAACGCTCCGACGTGGGACGATACCACACGAGGCCAAGCCTCTTCTTTTTTCCCTCCTTCGTCCTTTCGCCTAAGAAGCCCCAGTGACACTATCAGCTCTCAGCTCACCAGGGCTTGTGCATCCCCAGTCTGCTTCATCTCAGCTCTGTCAAGACAGTTCACAGCAAAATCAAACAGGGCGGATCTCTCGGCAGTCGCCTCTCTCTCGTCGCGGCAACGTTGTCGATGCAGATGGACAGCAGCCATCGCCAGCGTGTCACTGCAGCCAGCCACAACAAACCTGGCGACGCCCACAGGTCACAGGGAACAAGAGCCGATAACACCAAATGAGAGAGCGAAGGGCTGTCTCGCAGGAAACCCTCGATGCCCAAGGGCATCCTGCCATGACTGTGAAGCGCATCATATTCCAGCATCCTGGTCCTAGCTAATTACGCCGGCCAACGCTGGCTCAACACGTCCAGGCTAGTAGCAACCATCTTTTGTTTACCACACAATCCGACCACCTGTGAGTGTGCCATCTGGCGGTCAACTGAATGACTCCATGCCCGCCTCCCCTGTTTGCACATGCGGTGCGTGGGCGTGCACTACGACAACCCGATCACAAGCATGGTTAAATCTTGCTCTGTCAGCTGGGTTCCCAGACTTGCCAGCAAGCACAGCAGAGAACCAACCCTGCGCCCACGCCGCGATGCTTGAATCGGCCGTGGTCAAGAAAGAAGCTTTGTGGGGATGTCAGCCCCTAGAAGCCGCGATGCTTGAGTGTGCCAATCAGCGCGCTTCTGAAGCTACGGAAATGAGGTCATCACTGGTGTTGGTTGCCACACCCCTGGCCATTGCTTCCACGAGCCGGGACGATCCTCCGTCGCATGGGAGGTCGACCCCATGCGTTAATTAATTCGTGTGACGACTAAAACCAGCTTTGCTGTAGTTGCACACACCGTAGTTCTCTGAATGTTAGGATGCGCACGATCATGATGAGCCATCTATGCTTGCGATGAATGCGCTTGTGTTTCTGCACTTTACTATTGAGGCTCAGGACGTTCAGACCGCCTTCTCTAAGCATGAGGTGAACTTCAGCCCTTGACGAGCTCCATCTCGTTCATTTTCGACCAGATTTCGAGCAAGATCGAGCTCGAGTGGTGGAATTCGTTGAGGGGTTCTTCATCCAAGGCATTTCGACGACCTGTTGAAGCAATCAGCTTGATGATGCTCATTATAAATAGGTACTTGTCAATGGGGTCGGTTGACTCATAATGATTGGGGAGTGCATGTCAACGAATTACCTCTGAATGGAAAAACGTCTAAATTGTCCCCTGATCCAATCCCAGACGAAAGTAAGTAATACAAGATGGAACAAACAGCCTTCGCTGGCGGTCTGAAGTATTCGGATCGAACAACGACCTATAGCCAACGGAGAACCCTTCGATACAGGCAAGACCCTGTGATGCCGTGGATCAATACTCTACGATATCCAAGACCCCGAGTACTCCTCGCACAAGGGGTAGGCGATAGACCCCCCTTGACTGAGCAGGAGTGTAGAACGTGGAGCGGTCGTATTCGGTTGGTTCGATATCGTGTTGAAGCCGGGACACCAGGTCTGGCGAGGAAAGAAAGTACCGAACAAACGCAATGAGGGCAAGGCGGTCTTGCTGCTCTCCATCAACGACACTGCGGGCCTTGGACCATCATGTCCTCCAGCAACGGAAACAAGGTCCTGGTCTTGCTAGCTGTCCAACGCAAATGAGATGCCCTCCGTCTGTTCACAGTTGACGTCGTTGTTGACCCGCGACTCAATGAGGTGCAGGTAAGATATATTGAGCTCCACGAGACCGCGGACAATGCGCGAAAACTGACACTCCGTCGCATCGGTTCACATCCATACTGACGGAGCCCGAGCTGTAAGGAGTATTTCCTCGATCTGACCTGCGCGCCCCACACAGCTGAATGACATGAAACAGCCCTTTGCCCTGGACCGGCGTCGGTGATTTTCCTCCATCCCTGAACTATGCTCCGTCCCACATGCCGACCGCGCTCTCGCCACCGCAGTGAGCAGGTGGGATATAGGTCGCCTCGGCAATCAGGAGTGTGCCGTGACAGCAGATCTCCTGCGTGTAATACTGATACATCAAAGGGAAAGCCACGTGGTCGGCGTCTGGTGGAAGCGTATCAGCGGAGCCATGACGGCGCTTTAATCCTAATAAATAGTAATTCTGATGAAAATAATTCTGACAATAATTATTCTTCTGAAAATCCTAATTCAGAACTCAAATCAGATGATCATGATTCTCATGATGATTCTTTAGCTACTGAGTGGCTGAGTTTGACCTCACCGACAGTGATAGGGCAGAAGAGTTTTGTAGATGACATTGTTAGTGTAGGAGACGGCGGGTCATGAAGAAGATTTGAAGAAGAGTCTGGATATTGGACAAGGAACTGTAGGTCAGATGTTCCCGTGTTGCCAGGAGAGCTTCCGAAGATCCAAGCGTGAGAGTGACATTTTACACCGCCGGAAGGCTCACGAGCGAGAGGATTTTCAAAAACCACGTTGACTCCATGATTTTCAATACAAGTATGAGCCTGAAGAGCTTCAAAAATGAATACCGTGAGTTATGAGCGCGTATCTCGATTTTCTTCCTTGCAGAGACAAAGTCACTCTGTGAGAGCCCCGGGATCTTTAAGCGTATGATCCTGAGGTGCCCGCTTTTACAACTCAGTAAAGTACGTACATGAGCCTCAGAAACATATCGAACCGCAAGTAACCTCAAACCATCATAATCCCAATGCTGTCTGAACTCTGGCCTTGGTCGTAAATCTTAACTGTATATATTTACATCTCAATGAACTCGAAGGCCGTTTGGATTCGATGATTGGCTGGATGTGAGGATACGACCAGTCCCCAATAGCGGCATGCGAGCGAGCACTGACCCAACGACCACAGGATGCTCGTGCATTGAGTCAGCAATCCAATCCCCAAGTCCAGACGCTTCGATAGCGTGCAGATCGTCGTTTCGGCGCTGTCATTTCGCCCACACGACGGTCGGTTTCTGGGGTTAGTTAAGCCAGGCGTGCAACGGTCTCGAGACGTCAAACATTGACAGACAACCGACAGCTACGTAGCCAACATGTCACACAACCGGGCCAAACCTCTCCCCTCACATTGATCTGAGCGTCCTGGCACAGACCCCCTTCGCTTCTCTCTCTCTCTCTCTCTCTCTTCTTCTCTCCAGCTTATCACGACGACCCAGCATGCAAGCCATATAGCCTAGATAGAGCGCGGGCGTTACCTAGCCCCCCCCTCCCTTCACCAAACACACGCCCATCCTCCAATCCCACCTCACTAACGCGTCGCCCACACCCATCCATCCCTCGGTCTGCTCCACCGTCCACCGTCCGCCAGAGCCAAACTCAATCAAGACAACAGCTGATCGTATTCGAGGGGGCCCGCCGCCCGTCCACACCCTCTTTGACCATCGCATTCCTGCAAGCTAGGAGGAGGGTCGAGGGTCACGATGGGAGCCTACCAATCATGGCTCGGACCTGCCCTCCTGTGCCACAGGCTCTCCCCCTGTAGTGATCCCGTCTTTTCAGTCGTACAAAGCCCGGCGGGCGTCCGCGACGAAGCAGAGTGATTTCTTTCCAGAGGATGCTCTTTTGTGTCACTTTATTTCTTTTTATTTTATTTTCGTCCTTCCAAAATCTCAAGCCGAGCCTTCGAGCCGTCGACTGCATCTTGTGCGTTCGCGTGGACATCGCATGCCCGCCGAAGGAAAAGAAAAAATAAAACGCGTTCTCCCCGTCCGTCGCCGCCACCGGTCACCTGACCGAGAGAATTGCCCGCCCAGCTCCATGTCCCCTTCAGCGACGGGAGGCGTGGTGTCTTGATTCTCGGTGACGCGAATTGCCACACGGTTGGCTGGTCACCTTTCCGCCAGACGACAAACAGCTTGAGCATCGCTCCCTGCTCCTCGGTTTTATCAAAAGTCGCCCTCGGGCAGACAGCTTTGGGCAGGTTGGCCCAACTAGGCGACGAAGCTACGAAAGGTGTGTTCGCCAATCACCAACAAAAAAAGCAAGTCCCACAGATCTGGGGCGAAACGGAGCCAAGGGCCGAGAAGAAGAAGAAGAAGAAAAAAAGGCAGCAATCAGCGTATCCTACGACTCGTTCTACGACGTGGTGCCAAGCATGGCCATCTCGGCAACAACGACGTTCAGGTATGTCACTGTCACAAGCGCCGGCGCCAGCGCCACTGCCGACCCGACCTCTGATCCGGCCCCCTCCGGGGGAGAAGCGCGCGCCGATCTGGATTTCCATCTTCATCCTCTTCGGCGCCCTGACGGGCCTCATTCTGCTGTTTTTCTGCATGTGCGTACTCTGGGAGAGATTTCTTTTACTGAACCATTTTTTTTCTTCACGCCCACAGGAAATCGTGGGGCTTACGGTTTCGCAGCTGTTGGGTCGCGCGCCGGGTCATGATCCCTGGCTTCTCGCCAACACGACCCAACTCGCCGGATGCGGAAGCGCTCGCTCACGCTCACGCGCACGCCCCGTGGCCCCCGGCAACGGCCCCCGCCTCACCCCGGACCCCGGCACCGGCGATCCCGGCCGTGGCCTTGGAGGCCATAGCGCGCAAGGTTGCGCAGCTCGACAAGTCGGCGCCCATCACGACATACAAGGCCTGGCTCGCCGAGTATGAGGGCGAGGGCGAGGGCGAGTGTATGGGTGAGCCTGATGAGGAGAAGGACGACGATGCGGTCAAGGGCGTTGCGAGAGCCAGCTCCTATGTCGTTTGGTACGTCTTGCCCCCCCCCCTCCTGGCCTTCTTTGTCTCCCAGCCTTCATGACTTGCATCCTGCTGGTCAGCAAGATTTTTTTTTCTTCAGAACTCCCAGTGCTGACGGGGCTTTCTCCCAGTGTGGTGTGCCCTGGAAACACTCGAGGACAGCGATCTGATTCGCAACCTGCCGTGTCGCCACATTTACCACTCCGAATGCATCACGCAGTGGTTCCTCAACAAGCACGACACTTGTCCGCTGTGCAAGGTTCACTACGTGCCGCAGGACAAAGACGATGCCGCGCTCGCGAGGCCACCCGCGGCGGCTTTCAGAGGACATAGGCCTTACGACGCGATGTATCGGCTCTATACGCAAGTGCCGATATGAATCTTTTTTTAGTAATTCAGTTTCGTTTGCCAACGAGGGACACACCCGTCATGCGTCATAACGGGCATGACGGAATGAACAGGACTCGTGGTCGTCGGGAGTGTGTATATATGTGTTTGGCATTATGGCAAGAAGAGGGCTGTAGGAGCCCATCGGAGGTGGAGTCTCGGGGAGCCATTTTCACGGCCTTTGTTTCCTATCTTAACCTTACCTTCAGGACCCCCCTGTGGCCTGTTCGGCAGATGATACTACGGTGTGTGAGCGCATCTTTTGATCCAATTGATCTCATTTTACTTCATCTCGAGTCATTCGCGACCCTCTACCAAGGAATGAAGAACAAGAATTCTCTGTCGCCGCGACTCGCGCGCCCAGATGGATGGTTCCATCAAGGTCACCACACCCCTTCCCCAAAATAGGAATATCCTCGTCCTTTTTGAGTACCATGTCTACATGTAACCCCATCACCCGATCTCAGCACCCACACACAGTCCACACAGCCCAGCGACGCTTATCCCCGATCGGACATGCTGCTGGCCCCTCCCCATACGCCGAAAGCAGAGAAGCAAACACAAATGCCCCTCCCCAGCGAAGCTTATTATTACTAAACAGCGGTGCTTGACTGTTCGTACTGATGATGAATCGCCCGGACGAGCGAGCACGTCTTGGATCAATTGACGTCATCGTCCCCCGCGCCGTGACGTGCGAGGAATGGCGTGTTGCGTGAGGCCTGACGAGGCCGTATAAATCGTCTTCTTTCACAGTCTCGCTGAGGGTTGCATCAATTGGCCTGACAACCCGATCGTACAAGCAGCTTCACTATCACCACCACCTTAGGCGTCATCCTATTACACCTTTGCCCATTCGAATCCGGATTCGGCGACAAAGAAAGCAGTCCACACACCAAAAGACATCCTCGCCCACCATGCCCCACGTCCTCATCCTCGGCGGCCACGGCAAAATCGCCCAGCACCTGACGCCCCTCCTGCTGCGGGCCGCGCACACGGTCACGAGCGTCATCCGCGCCGACGACCAGGCGCCGACCATCCGCGGCCTCGCCCCCGCCGACAGCAGGGGCACCCTCAACGTGCTGATCCGGTCCCTGGAGGATGTCACGTCCCAGGACCGCGCCCAGGCCATCCTGTCCGAGGTGAAGCCCGACGCGGTCGTCTTCAGCGCCGGCGCCGGCGGCAAGGGCGTCGCCGACCGAGTACGTTTTCTGCCTCTCTTCCCTTTTTCTCTCTCGCCTTTTGGAATAGATCAACCCCGAAAGGAAAAAAAAAGAAAGAAAAAAGGAAAAAAGACAAAGTCAGGCAACGCTAACGAGACAGACCCGTATCATCGACCGTGACGCAGCCACGCACTTCCTGCGCGCCGCCGCCGCAACGCCCTCGATTACAAAATTCATCCTCATCTCGTACCTCGCCTCGCGCCGCGCGGGAGCCCGCGTGGTGGGACGCCGCGGCCTGGGCCGACGCCCAAAAGGTCAACACGACGCTGGCCGCCTACTACGACGCCAAGGTCGCTGCCGACGAGGTCCTCTACGAGGCCGGCAGCGCGCGCCAAGACTTCGCCGCCGTCAGCCTGCGGCCCGGCACGCTGACCGAGGGGGACGTCGGCGGCATCGAGTTTGGGCGGACGGGCGGTGCCAAGGGCGAGGTCTCGCGCAGGACGGTCGCCGAGGTGACGGCGCGCCTCGTGGACGCCGAGGGCCTCAAGACGTCGTGGATCGACCTGCTTGATGGCCAGGACAACATTGACGAGGCCGTGAAGCGCGTTGTCAAGGAGGGGGTGGATGTTGCTGAGGGTGAGCCTGTGTACGACAAGGTGCGCAAGGCCTGAGTGGGCGTCGCGGTGACCACCAGAAATTCACGATGTATGATAAAGACACAAAACATGGACATTTAACGTTTTTATTCATTCATGTGACTATCACGCCATCAGGGCAATGTGCTTCAGCTCACCCTGCACCTGGAAACCGACCTTTGTAGGCGGGTACTCGACTTCGGCGCCCTCGTCCTTGCCGAGGTTGAACTGCTGCGCGCGAACCTGCTTCGCCTTCTCGGCGAGCGCCGGCAAGGGCGCGAGGTCGTAGTCGGACGAGAGATGGTAGAACATGGTTGAGGAGATGCGGATGAGGGGACGGTCGGGGTGTTCCTCAGTGCGGCGCTTCATGGCGGCCACGGTGGCCTCGTTGATGACGACTTCGTGGAAGCCGGCCTTGACGAGCCCGCCCGTGATGTACTCGAGCTGCTTGCCGGCCTGGACGAGCAGGTAGCTACCCTGGGGGATCTTGACGGCCATCTTCTTGCCCGTGTTGCGCGCCCAGACGTGCAGGCCGGGGTAGCGGGAGCGGCCGTGGATTGTGAGGAAGTTGAGGTCCGTGTGGAAGCCGGCGAGGATGGTGTCGGGCTGGTCAAAGCGGCGAAGGTCGGATGAGGTCGGCGCCAGCAGGTGGGGGCCGTAGCGCGCGGCGCTCGTGAAAGCATCGGCGGGCAGCTCGAGGCCGGCAGCGGCCATGGAGGCGACGCCCTCGACGGCCTGCTTCATGGTGGCGCCCCAGTGGTTCATGGTCGGCGACCAGCGGTCACGGATGTGGGGGGCTTCAAGGCACAACGTTGGAGGCGTTGAGGCCGGGGACCTGTGTGTTGACCTCAGGGAGGCGGGGCGTCGTTCATGCGCCAGAAGAAGCGGCACTTGGGGTCGGGACTGTGGGCGGAGATGTCGAGGGGACGCTCCTCGGGAGCAAGGCGGGCGATGACGTCGAGGCAGGGTTCGTCAACGGCGCACTTGGGCTTCTCCGTGTTCTCAAGCGTAACGCCAATCTGGTAGGAGAGCTCAGGGCGCTCATCCTTCTGGAGGTCCTCGCGGGGCTGGGCGAAGTAGTCCTCGAGGAGGTCGAGGAACGTCGTGTTGTCCTCTTCCGAAACGCGCGAGTCGTGGAGCACGAGAGCGCCGTAGGTGATGAGGGCATTGGCAGCCTTGAGGCATTCGGCCTTGGACTCGGGGGAGTCCTGGGGGTTGTTGAGGAAGACATCGAGGTCAATGATGGGCAGATCCATCGGGAGTTCGTCGGCGGGCATGGCTGCGATATCTTGGATGTGCGGGAGGGCTTTGGTCGGGGAGAAGCCGGTTTGTGGTCGCAAATGGTTGCCAAGGTGAGTCAACAAATTGGCACGCACTGAGAAGAGAGCAGAGGATGTAGAGAACTGTTAAACTAGGATACAGTGAGAATGGGGATGAGAAGAGAATAAATGCAGCATCGTCAAAAAGTAGTCAGTCGCCGCTGCTTACTTTGGTCCCATGTGATACGTCCGAAGGGTCCGCCAAATCTTGGTGGGGGAAGGAGCCCGGTGGGGTCTCGGTTTGGCGGGGGCAGGGGCAGGGTGCACGCGCATGCTGGATGAGGAAGCTGCCATGTTCGATGTGTGTCGCCGCTTTACCTCTGCTTCTTCCTTTGATGCCCTGCATAACTTCCGGTTGCACAACCACCCTCTGCTTACCTGCCTCACCACCTTAGGTACCTATCTGGGTACATCTTCATGACTACCTTAAATATTGACCTGAATGACAACATGAGCCAGAGGAGTACGGTAGGTATTATCTGCAGATGAGAGTTCGGCTTCTGTCATCTCTTGCACGAATCAGGCAACACGAGGTATACTGGCCAGGCATCTTCATTTATCCAATGCTGCTAGGTACATGACTGGAACACATTCTGGGAACGCCTGAATTACATATTCCATGACATGGTACAGTTCGTCAACCTCTGGAACGCTCCACCGCACCTCGAAGCACGCGGACATATGTGCACACGCCCTCCTCGCCTTCTCTAGCTCTACATGGCGCGCTTCTTTCCTCCAACGTCTGCGTTTTGAAGGAGTCGTCAGAAAGTCGCTCGAACGGGTGCCGTCCGGCAGTGTCGACATTGTAGGCAACACATCCGCCCAAAGGTTTAGGCTCATGATCGGTTCATCCTTGAGGGCTGCAAAATTCTCGGTCTCGGCTATGTGCCACGAACTTCCAATCGTCACCAAGTTCTTGAGGTACACGCACCCGCCCGGGCACTCCGGGTGCTGTTGCAGCACGTCGTGGTAGATTTCACTCGCTGAACGAGAGTTTATCATGGCGGAATCCATGGCCACGAACAAATGACCTTCTCTCGAATGCTGCATACTGGGGTGGTTGCGGTGACTGAAAATATGCCCGACAAATTTGGCAAAATGGATGAGCCCGACGCGTGATGGCGAGTCTGGTATCGCCTGGCGCGCTTCACGACAGCTGAGGACGGTGTTGGTCTGACGCCAGCTTACCATTTTCCTCGCTTGCTGCGGCGTGTTGTTGCTGCTCGACGCTGCCGTGTTAAATGCGCAGAACATGTAAGACTCTGCGCGAGCTTGCTCCCAGATCAGCCTGCGGATCTCGAGGGGAAATCGCGGGAAGAGGTGGAAAATGTCTTTGCTCGAGGCCAAGTAGTCCATCTTGTTGACGAGGAGAGAGCCCGTGTGAGTAGAAAGTTATGATCATCTTCGAGCGTGCTTCAAATTAATCAAGTACTTATATAGATAATACGTGCGATATACTTCGCTGCCTTGGCTGTTGGTCGATGCAGATAGGCTGTCCTAGGAAGTTCCTGCATAACCATGCCCACAAAGGGAACAAGGAGCACGATTTATATCCGATTGGAGACACATCACAGCTTGCTCCCTATCAATCTGGAACCTGGCCACGCAACAGATACATCTGGACATATTTTGCAAGCTAACGGTAGCCTGCATTGTTCAGTTGCGTTCAAAATTTAGGGGCTTCACCTACCCAGTCCTTACAACAAATTCCATCACCAAACCCGCGTCACCAATCTCATTGGTCTGCAGCGTCGTGTCCCCATCCCCTCTACGTAGCTCTCGCTTCAACCTTGAGAATACTGGACGTCTCCAGTCAAGCCTGCACAATTCTGCACAACGCTCCACGTCGACGTTGGTCGAAACGTCCCCTTGAAGCGGCGACATACTGAACCAGACCCACATCGCCCGCCTAGAACGGCCCTCGCCGATAACCGTGGGTTGGCCACCCCAGATTCTTATCAGGCCATCGCTCTCCGGCGGAGATCGACGGACACCGGTTCTCGACCGGTCGTCTGGCCAGACGAGAGACGTGAATGCCTGGCACCGGCGGGATAGTGTGCTGTCGGCCAAGGCGATGACCCGGGCTTTCCTGGCCAGGTTCATTCCTATTGTAACATCATGTTCCTTGGCTCTTGAATGAGTGGTAGACTCTGCCTGGCCAGGTCAGAGCGGCCCTGGCTTGACAATCAGACACGGCCAGCAGTGACGTACACATGGAGCACTACTGCCGATTCCTCCCCGTGAGCATACATCAGTCTGATACACGTATACAATCAAAACTACGTTTAGGGGTTCATCCGAGGATATGCGCCTTTAAACTTGATGAGTACTATCACGGATCGATATAGCTTGAGATGTAGCTTCAGACGAGTATCGCTCTTACATGAAGACTACCAATATGACTGATGCAGTAACTCAACATAACCCGAGGTCCAATACGCCGCCGGGGAACTTTGCTTCACTACACCATGCTCGCAAAGCCGGAACTACGGCGTGACGCTGTGCGATCCCAAGACACACAGTATCAGCCTATCGCTTCCGTAAGATCACACGGACTCAGGTACGCATCAACGTGCAGGCTTTGGACCGCGCAACTCGGGCGCAAACGGTTCTCTTCAGCATCCTGTTCGTCACAGCTTCTACCTGTGCTTCCGCACCTCGGACGCTTCCTTCCCCAGCTCCTCCAATGCCTTCTCGTACCGCTCCATCCTCTCCCCGCCGAACCCTCCGTCTTCCGCATCCTTCTCGACAATGACCAACCGTCCGACCTCTTCCGTTCTCCGGATGCCCTCCCACTTGGCCACGGCGCCCCAGAACCATCCGCTCTCGCGCGTCTCCACAAGCGTGAACGCCCGTCCCTGCCTGCCCGCACGCGCCGTGCGGCCCACGCGGTGGACGTAACCCGCGGCGCTGGCCGGGAGATCATAGTTGACGACGTTGTCGAGGGCCGGCAGATCGATGCCACGAGCCACAAGGTCGGAGGCGACGAGGGATGCGGAGGGTGCCGGCTGTAAAAGGAGGCGAGGACGCGGCGGCGGTGAGATGTCTTCTGCGTCGATGTGAGGGTGCCGATGAGGGGCGCGAGAGAGGGCGCGAGGAGGGAGAGGAGGCGGGAGAGACGGATGGCGGATTCGTTGGACTTTGTAAAGATGAGCGCCGTCTTCTTGAAGGAGGCCTTGGGCGTGTCGGAGTCTGAGTCCGAGTCCGAGTCCGATGAGGTGTCTGATGAACCGTCCGACGAGGTATCCGACTCGTCTTCTGATGAAGTGTCGTCGTCGTCTGCTGCTGCTGCTGCTGCTGCCGTCTTCGCAGGGGTTTTTTTGTTCTTCGATGCCGTGTCCGTGGGCGAGAGCAAGTGCTTGCCCTGGAGCAGGTCGAGCAGGTACAGAGGCTTGAGCCTGGTGTCGTAGACCCTAGTCGCAAACTCCTTGAGTGAGCTGGGAAGCGTGTGCTCGGCCACCTGCGTCGCGCCATCGGCCTTGCCGCCCTCGAGCACGATGAGCTGTGGCCTCCTGAGCTGCAGACTGCCGAGCAGACTGAGATCTCGGGTGAGCGTCGCACTGAGCACAACCTTGCGGACGCCTGTCAGATTCGAGTCAGGGAAGTCGCGTGCGCTGAACTTGTTGGTGCGCAGCTTAGGCATGACCACGTCCAACCAACCCTGGAAGCTTTGCGCCAGCAGCTTGTCTGCTTCATCGACTACCAGCCAGCGAACAAAGTCCAGCGTGAAGCCCGGTGTATGATTGATGTGATCGACCAGCCTTCCGGGGGTGCAGATGAGTACATCGACCTTGGAGTTGTAGTCGACGACGTGATCGGGCAAGTTGCCCATGACTGGGCCTGGACGCCTGCGGCCCACCTTCAGCATCGGCATCCTCAAGTGTAGTCCAAGCCTCGCGGTCCCTCTTCACAGCGTCTGCATATGCCTTGGGGTCGTAGCGTTCCGTCTGCTCTACCAGATTCGCCTGGTCGTTTTTCAGTTGATGGCTGCCAATTGAAATCCCGATGCGTACGCGCTTCTGATCACGGGCATCAAAAGCAGCGGCGCAGAGCTGGAAGACCTCCTGAGCCTGATTGACAAGTTCTCGGGTCGGCAGCACCACAAGCGCTCGCAACCTCGTTACCTGGCCCTGGCTGATGTCGCGAACAATCGGCAACGCATACGCCAACGTCTTTCCGGAACCGGTAGCGGCCGCGACGAGAAGATCACCCTGGCGGTGCTTGCACGAGGGCAAAAGCAATGGTATCGCGGCCGTCTGCACCGCAAAGGCGTCCTTGAAGCCTTTCGACTCGAGAATCTTGGCTGAACGGTCGTTGATGCCGATCTCGGGGAACGGAGTTCTGGTGTCGGCTGCAACGCGTATCGGTGCTGCAAGCCATGGCGGTAGGGTTTCATAGGACATCTTGGTCGTGTCGGCGGCCACAGGCTCCGGTTGCGGTAGGGGGTCCAGGCCGTGCATCTCGATATCCTCCGCTTCGTCTTCGTCGACATTCATTGCCTCAGCTCCCTCGGGCAGTGGTGCCGGGGCCTTGATCGACTTGGCCTTCTTTGCCAATACTGATGCGAACCGCGAGGGCACCTTGTCTTCTTCGTCGTCTTCGTCATCCCCATTGTCCTCTCGAGCAGGCTTCTTCTTCTTTGGCTTGTCTCGTGCCTCCCTTTCCCTCTTCTTTTTCTCCTTCTTCTCGGCTTTCTCTACATCTTCGGACTGTTTGGACTTCTTGGGTTTCGGCGCAGGGCTTTCTGCGCCGTTCGTAGAGGCATCGCCATGCTTGCGCTTTGTCGCGGGAGATAGCGCATCATGCGAGTTTATTGATGGAGACTGGGTCGCCGTCGTCTTTGCTCCTTTCGTTGGGGGTACGTAACGAGCGTAGTCTGTGGAGGGCTGGCTGGTCGAGCCATGGCTGGCGGTGCTCTGTTGAGGATGTGGTGGTGATGCAGAAGATGCTCCCTTTGACGGGACGTATCGATTGTACATCTTTCTAGGCTCTCTGATCAGTTGGTCGTTCGGAGCGGTCGGCCAAGCAAAATGTTGAGAGTGGTGTTTCGTCGTCGCTGCGTCTGGCCTCGGAGGGGCAGAAGAGACGAGCTTCCAAAAAATTTGGGCAATGATCCAGCACAGCGGCTTATCAGTGTTCTGCCGAGATCCACCGCCCACTTATCGTTCCCGCTGCAGGGGTGGTTCTTTAGCTGTCTCGATCCAATCCCTCGACCAATTGATCTTCAGCGCATTCGTGTGTCTCTTGAGGTCGAAACCAGGGACCTGCTTGACCTGACGATCATGGTCGACTGAACAACTTCAGCACCACTTTCAACCAGTCGACCACCGACAACTCTTCAAACCTGTCCGAAAAGGCTGGCCCACCGCATTCCGACATATGTCCTACGTCAGACATGCCTCAACATCCTAGGTAGCAGGACCCTCGACCGCCACGATGCCCCGCCGTCGTACGTTCAATATCGCCATGGTGTGCGACTTCTTCTTTCCGCAGCCAGGAGGAATCGAGAGTCACATCTACCAGCTTTCCTCGAAACTCATAGACCGCGGTCACAAGGTCATCGTCATCACCCACGCTTACGAAGGCCGCACCGGCGTGCGCTACCTCACGAACGGCCTTAAGGTCTACCATGTGCCTTTCCTCGTCATCTTCCGCCAGGCCACGTTCCCCACCGTCTTCTCATTCTTCCCGATCTTCCGCAATATCGTCATTCGCGAGAGGATTGAGATCGTCCACGGCCATGCCAGCTTGAGCAGCCTCTGCCACGAGGCCATCCTCCATGGCAGGACCATGGGACTGCGGACCCTCTTCACAGATCACTCACTCTTTGGGTTTGCAGATGCCACGAGCATCCTAACGAATAAACTTCTCAAGTTTACCCTCAGCGACGTCGACCATGTCATTTGCGTCAGCCATACCTGGTAAGTACATGCGTCCAAGGTTCTTGCTTGAGCTCACCTGGCTGACACCTCCCAAGCAAGGAGAACACTGTTCTGCGAGCATCCCTCGACCCGCTCATGGTCTCCGTCATCCCGAACGCCGTCGTCGCCGAGAACTTCCGCCCCCAAAAACTACCCCGCCAACCCGTCGGGCGTCGCCAACTTCGTCCACAACCCGCCGCCCGCCCAGCCCCTCGGCCCCAACGACACAATCACCATCGTCGTCATCTCCCGCCTCTTCTACAACAAGGGCACCGATCTGCTGACGGCGGCCATCCCACCCATCCTCTACAACAACCCGAACACGCGCTTCGTCATTGCCGGCTCGGGTCCCAAGGCCATCGACCTCGAGCAGATGATCGAGCAGAACGTGCTCCAGGACCGCGTCGAGATGCTCGGCCCCGTGCGCCACGAGGAGGTCCGCGACGTCATGGTCCGCGGCCACATCTACCTGCACCCGTCCCTGACCGAGGCCTTTGGCACCGTCATTGTCGAGGCCGCGTCGTGCGGCCTCTACGTCGTCTGCACCCAGGTCGGCGGCATCCCCGAGGTCCTGCCCTCGCACATGACCGTCTTTGCGCGCCCCGAGGAGGACGACCTCGTCGCCGCCACGGGCAAGGCCATCGCGGCGCTGCGCGCCAACAAGGTCCGCACCGAGCGCTTCCACGAGCAGGTCAAGAAGATGTACTCGTGGACCAACGTCGCCGAGCGCACCGAGCGCGTCTACCGCAGCCTCTACGAGGACGAGGACGACGACGTCGGCGGCGGGGAGCAGGCCGTGGACGACGACGAGTACGACGAGCACGACGGCGCCCCGTCGCCGCGCTACGGCGTCGCGCGCCCCGGCGAGAGGAGCTTCGCGCTGATTGACCGCCTCAAGCGGTACTATGGCTGCGGCATCTGGGCCGGCAAGCTGTTCTGCCTGTGCGTCATCATCGACTACCTCATCTACCTGTTTCTCGAGATGTGGTTCCCCCGCGAAGACATCGACATTTGCCGCGACTGGCCGCGGGAAGAGGATCCCCCGAAGATGACGACGAAGACGAGAGGCGGAAACACGGCAGGTGGAACAAATAGACGCCGACGGATAGACGGGCGGCTTTCTGGCATGAGACTTGTAGACGAGCATGGCGTTCCGGGTTCAGTTGGGTTACATAAGCGTCCTGCTCTCAAGAAGAGAGCATGGAAAGCAGCAGCAGCGTCACAGAGTTTTTTTCTTTTGCTTCATCCAGCACAGAATATAAGATATACTGCTGCTTTGACCGTGCCTCCGACTCGTCTCGGTATATACACATTCTCTAGACTTCTCGTACTGCGCGGCCTCTATCCGCAGCCGCCAGCAGAGAAGCTTCATCCCCGCAAGGATGCTCGCTACTCGGAATCCACGCCTCAGCCTTCCAACCCTCTTTGTCTCCACACCCACCAAGATGACTACCCCCGGGGCCATATCTCGACTCGCAGAACTGTCGTGTTTGATGCATCTAGGTTTGTCGAGGTCTAATCCAATCCGGAATGGCACGGGGCGAGAGGGAAACAAACAAAGGAGGGTGGAGTAGGCATCCATCCAGCATGCCGCAAGAAAACGCCAAACCAACTGTCGAAGTAAGAAAAAAGACGGCGTCAAGTGAGAGGGAGAGAGCCGTCTAAGGAACGCGTTTCATCGGCTCATCGTCCACGACGAGGAGATCAAGGTATCCAGGTGAAAGAACCCCTCTCTGTCTCCTTCCTATATCACCGAAAAGCAGAGAGGAGGGGCCGAAGAAGGGTCGAATAAACAGCACAACAGATGGACTGGCGTGCGGATCTTCGCAATGAGGTGGGTGGGGAAAAGGAAGAAAGTGTAGAGGGAAGGGGGTATCAGCGAAAGTCGAGCGCAGGCCAGGCTGGGGTCCGTGGCTTTATTTGATGTGGATGGTTTGACAGAAATGTTCAGTCGGGGGTTCTTCCGAACAGCAACAGGAAACAAGTCGTTCATGCCTGGCCGTTGTCGCCGTCTTTGAGGAGGAGAAGGGCGAGTCAGCTTTCTTCGTTCTGGTTCCTCTCGATTATTTCTCGGGCGGCGGATCAAGTGTCTCGAGTACAGGGGGAAAAAAAAAAGAAGCGGTGCCGT